TTGGATAAGCTAAACTTGACTTACAAGTAGCAGTTGCAAACTCAAAGCAGTTATAAAAAAGCATAATTTTATATTACGACTTACAGCAGAACCTTTGAAAAACAGTCTAAGGAGAAAAAAGAGTGATATCTTAGCTCGTTAAAATAAATGATTCTGAAATTTGAATAATCTTTCAATTATTTCTTTTTTTTTAACGCAGATTTTTTTGCTGGTAGTTTTTCTGTTTTAGATAAATGATTAACTCATTTCTTGATGTTTTAAAAATTCAGTATTGAACTTGACACAGACACAGATCCGATGCCCTTTTTTATCATAAGTCTTTAGAGAATTTGTTGACAGTGAAGGCAAACCAGGGATTTTCAGAAAATTTTGATATAAGGCTTCATAGGAATGCTTAAATCAGTTACTCATTCTGTTTTAACACAATAAATTAATTTATTATTTTGTTGTTTATATAGAAAGTTACTTAAATACATTCAATTAAAAGAATGTGTGAGCTTATTTTTTAAATTTCTAGTACTTAGTTTGTTACACTATGCTGTGGTCTTCAAAAGTCTCATGCCTTTTCTATTTCTGAGGTTAGCAGGTCTGTATTATATATAACAAAGTGTAATTGCTCGGTATGAGTTTTTGGAATGTGATTTATGTCATGTAGTTTACCTTTAAACAATTATGAAATATTGAGATATCAGGAATTTTTTGTTTAAAACAAAAGTCACAGTTGTATAGTAATTGTGTTAAAAAAAAATATGTTCAATAATTGTCTTAAATTTTTTCTCTCTAAAATTTGTTAAGATTTCTCATTGGTATTTCATTTCAGTAATACCTATTTCCTGCTCTCTTATATAAACGTTTAAAATAAATTTTTTGAAAATTGTTTTTAATATTGTTTAATTATGCAAGTAAGATACCCTAAGTGTCAAGTGCAAATCAAGCTGAATATTTTTTTTTTACAGTTGTTTTAGTTGTGAATAATTTTTTAAAGATTTGTCTATTTCACATTGCTAGTGGAGTTATAAATTATTGAAAATGTAAGCCTAAGCAAAAAAGGGTTTGTGAAGAATCACCAAAATTTTGCCAAATGCGCAATAACAAAAAAAGTTTAAAAGAATAATTTTTTAATATCCCCCCCTGCAAAAAAAAATTCTAAAGCAATTTATCATTCAAATTTTAATTAACAAAACAATTATCTTAAAATATATTTATGAAAGACAGAGTTATGCAGGAAATTTTGAATTTATTATTGAAAACAATTGGATTTTTATACTATTTTTGTAATCTAAGTTTTAGTCTTGTTAAAATGTAAATATTATAGTTTCCAATTAAGGAGAAAATTCACCAATTGATGTAACCTTTTTACAACCTGTCCTTTAGCAACCTTTTTTCTTTGTCTAGAGCAGTGGTTTCCAACTGCCGGCCCGCGAACTTAAATATATTAGTTTTAATTTTTCTACCGACAATTTTCGTAAAAAATCTGTACGCGTTTAGAATACTTTTCTCGTTAATAAAAATCTAATTTGTAATTTATTTTAATTTGTAATTCAATACTTTTTTTTTGTACAACTTGGTAAAAATCTGACAGTAATATTTAAGGTTTCTTCAAGCATAAAAGAGTCCTACATAAAATTTTGATAAAGTTGCGTCCAGCCGTTTGATTTGTGTTCTTAATTGTGGCCCCTGACCTCATGTAAGTTGGAAACCCCTGGTCTAGAGGATGTATTGAACTTTCGCAATGCCTTCAAAGTAAACATTTTAGTTTTTGATAATTTATAACTTAATAATTACTTTGTAATAGACAAAATAAATTTTATATATAATTTCCGAAGTTAAAAACTCTGTAAAAAAATCAAGTGACACTTTGTATCAATTCCTCTCTAGCAGCATTAGCCACAGTATTCACTATTAATATTTGTATAAATTTATAATTTCCCAGAAGAAAGCTAAACTTGATTTTTTACATATCACAAGAGGTATAAATAATTGTATTCATTATTGGCTTCACATACAAATTTTAATTAATATGAACTGAAACTGAAAATTCTTGAAATTTCTTAAATGAAATTTTTTGGTGTGTGTTACTTCTTCTTAACATTCAATATTATTAGTTATAATAAAATAAAATGAATTTTTTGGAAAATTAGTGACCAAAGTATATTTGTACTAGATTTGATATCTTTATAAATATTTCCATAAAGTGGTCTTTGACTTTAGTACAAATTTGAAATATTTATAGAAATGAATTAGTAGGAGTATAAAATTATGGATTGAAGGTGATATTTTGTGAAGGTGCAACTAAGTTTGAATGAACAAGCTGAGATTTCTCTTTTTTGTATGTCACATTCCGTTCGTTGTGTCTGTCTGTGTGTACATTTTCTCATCTCATTTACTTGTGTTAATAAATATAAATTATTGGTAATGAATTAGTTTTTTTTTTATACACAGTTCTAACGACTCATTTTTTTATTAATGATACAGTGAAACCTGTCTAGTTGACCACCCTTGTAAGCATCAAACATTTTCCGGTTAATAATTAATTATTGGTAATGAATTAATAATTTTTATACGTTTGTTCCAAGGACTGATTTTTTTTTTATTAATGATGCAGTGAAACCTGTCTAATTAACCACCCTTGTAAGCATCAAACATTTTCCGGTTAATAATTAATAATTTTTATACGTTAGTTCCAAGGACTGATTTTTTTTTATTAATGATGCAGTGAAACCTGTCTAGTTGACCTCCCTTGTAAGCATCAAACATTTTCCGCATAATAATTATTGGAATTGAATTAGTTTTTTTTTTTATACGTTAGTACTAAGGACTGATTTTTTTTTTTTAATTAATGGTACAGTGAAACCTGTCTAGTTGACCACCCTTGTAAGCATCAAACATTTTCCGGATAGTAATTAGTAATGAATTAGTTTTTTTTTCTATTACATTAATTCCAAGGACTGATTTTTTTTCTATTAATGATAGAGTGAAACCTGTCTAGTTGACCACCCTTGTAAGCATCAAACATTTTCCGGATAATAATTAATTATAGATAATGAATTTTTTTTATTTATATGCATTAGTTCCAAGGACTGATTTGTTTTATTGAGGATACAGTGAAACCTGTCTAGTTAACCACCCTTGTAAGCATCAAATATCTTCTGGTTACGAATCGGTTTTCATAGGTTTAAATAAAAATAACTGTACATTTAAAAAATTACAAACAAACATTAAACTCATAACTGTACATTGTTCTCAAGTTTTGAGAAAATAATAGAAGGAAAGCTTTAAGTTATAATCTGTTTTTTCCAAACTGTAATAAAGCAAAGCCTTTTTTTTTAATTCTAAATTTTTTGAAAGGCAATTATGATGTATCATCAAAAGTTTGTGGTTTAAATTTAATATTAAATCAAAGATGACGTGGTTAGAACGCCTAAACTAAATAAATCCCTTCGATACAAGTTGGTGGTGGAAAAAATATTCCCAAAAACACAATAAAAAACTTTCGAGTTCTCTTAACTCAAAAGAAGTTATAGATAACCCTTAAAAAAAAGTAGAAAAAAGCAGCCAACCTCAAAAACACAACGATTATGCAATAAAAGAAAAATCATACAATCTATTTTGTAATGACTAAAAAAAAAAAGCTGGATAATTCATTTTAAATAAACAAATGTCAAGAATGATGGATTAAAAAAACAAAAAATATTAGCCTTTGACCCTAAATACGATACCGGTGTCTCTTTAATTTTTTTTCTGGACGCTTTAAATACAAGCAAATATATTTTTGATCGTTTTTAATTATCTATTAAAAAAACAGTCCGATACTTATTGAAAAAGAGGTTAAATTATCGGAATTATATTTGTACTAAAATATAAAATTAAAAAAAAAATTTAAAAAATTATTGTTTTCCATTCGTGTGCAAAATTTATCAGTTATTGATTTTTGTAAACAAAAGAGATTACACTGATGAATTAATTGTTTCTCTTATATTTAAATAATTAAGTGCAAATTTGAAAAATTATTGTTTGGAAGATTTTACCTTTAATTCAAAAAAAGAAATACACCGGTGTTACATGTTGTTTTTCTAAACTATAAATTATTAAAATGCTAAATACAATATTTTTAATTTATTTTGACATAAATTAATACAAAATAATAAAAAAAAGTACATTTGAAAAAAAAATCTGCGTCTAAGGGTTAATGAATGCCAATTTCGGACATAAAGTTTTAGGCCGACATGTCCCTCAAACTAATTGTTATCTACTGATTACTTGCATAAAAATATAAGCTGCCGTGTTTTTTATTTATTTATGTTTTTTAACCCACCTATAATAATTTCAGGTTCCTACCTGAAAAATTTCGTCATTTAGTTCCTTATATAGAAAATAAAATCAATCTATTTCGGCTTTTACATGGAAAGTTGAGCAGAGTATACAGATGGGTGGCAAAATAATAGGAATACTTTTCAATCTTAACTCTATGTAAAAACATTTTCTTTGCGCAGCATATGTTTTGAAAGATTTTACATGGCTTAACTGTTAAAAAATCATGATTGAAGCCTTTTAGAAATGATTTCATTTTAACCCATGCTAAGATCGGGTGGACCAAAATGAGGAAAGGAAGTTAAAAAAAAAAAATTCTAGTTTTAATAGTAGCGATTCTGAAATCATTGCAATTGGATTGTGATATTTACATACAAATGCTTTTAGTATTATATTGGTTTTAAAACTGGAAAGAAGCTTTAAACTTACATTCATTTTGGTCGGTGTAAAATTTCAATGGGTGAATAGAATATAATTTCTTAAAGCTCAAACATGATCTTTCAATTTGAGCCAACAGTTTTGTAATGTAAAATCTTCCAAAGCATTTACTGCTAAAATAAATATTGTTTAGTACAGAAGTTTTGTTATTATTTTGTCATATCCTTTCTGCAATTTCCGATTTTTGAGGTCGACTGCAAAGCTATACCGTATCGTCTGATCTTCTAATCAGCTATTATCTTTTTTCGCAACCTACTCGTTAAAGATAGTGATTTCTTAAAAATTGTCTCCTTTGATAAAAGTGGATATATTACACATACTGATAAAGTTACATCCTCTCAATTCCGGAAACATGTGATTTTATTTACTTAATTAAAGAATATCATCAATGGAGTCACGTTTGAAGGTAAGAGGAATATCACACACAAAATTCATATAGCTGCCAATNATATATATATATGCTTTTTTCAGGTAGTTGTTATAGGTGCAGGTGCAGCTGGCTTATGTGCAGTGAGACATTTATTATCGGATCCGGACCACTTTGAGTTCGATGCTTTCGAGCAGAAACATTACATAGGAGGTATATGGAATTATTCGGAAAAAGTTGGCTCTGATGAATATGGTTTACGAAATGAATCAAGCATCTATAAAAACCTATTGTATGTATCACTGATGTATGATGTTAGCTTCACAACTAAAACTGCATAAATGAAGAGTTTATTACAAGATAGGGAAAAGCTACATTTTCAACGTTTTTAGACTTTTTGAAAAAATGAGTGCAACAGGGCTGCTAAACTTCCTACGCTTTTCGGAAAAACAGTATTAATGGTCGCTAAGTTTATTTTTAGATGTTGTTTTTCTTTCTTTTGTAAATAAGTAACTTTCCACACCACTACACGGAAATGATTTAAACGTTCATAGTAAAGGTCACTTTGTTCTAGTTCTTTTGTCGTTAGATTCTATAAAATGTTGCCAAGATTTCCAAAATATTTTGCCTGTATGAAATATTTTACAAAAATCATAATAGTTGTTAGTCCTGTTGCAAGTTTATCGAAATTATATTAAATTGCAAGTAAATTAAGTTAAATCTGAAATTATTCGCAGCACTTTATTAGACATTTACTACCACTTTTAACTTTTTTGAAATTTTAATTTATCAGAGTCTCCTAATAAGATCTTTCAGTGAAAGCTGTAATGTATGGCTGGTTGGGTAGATATGTAATAAAATGTAAATGATACATTTCTTCAGAATATTACAACACTCAGAAAATTTATTAGATCAGACTCAGAAGATTTTAGGTAGGTGAACTGTATTTTGACATTACTTATAGCAGTGTTTCCCAAACTTATGACTTTTGTGTACCCCTTCTAAATTTTTCGTAACACTGTGTACCACTGATAAAAAAATGACTGTATTTTTTACCATAAAAAATTGCACGAAAGTTAAAAGTCACAACTAGCTGTTGACACCACTAAATATTAACTGTTAACTCTGCAAAAAGTAGCCAATAGAAAAATACGTAATCGTAAATTTTCATGGCTAGCTTTGTTTTTGAATAAAAGTTTTTAAAACTTTCGTTCGTTGCAAGATATTTCTCATAAGAACGCGTACCCCCTCTAAACTGTTCCCGTACCCCTGGGGGTACGCGTACCACACTTTGGGAAACACTGACTTATAGAATCATATATTCTGGCTTAACATATGTCTGCATTCTGAACACTTCAAAAAAAATTTTTAAAAAATCTTGTTACTTTAATCAAGAAGTTCTAATCATTTGGAGTAATTTATGTTAACAAATTTTTATCTTAAAAAAATCTCATAAACAAGGATGCCATGAGCAATTAAAAATGAAAAAAGTGGTGACAACTAATGAATATGGTTTACAAATTAATGAATATGGTCAAGTAGAAATTTTTTCTAACGCATTTCTTTCAATTTAGCATTCAAAGTGAATACAAAGAAGAAGAAAAAAAATTTGTCTTAAATATGAACAATTTACAATGTAAGTCATGGTGGTAGTTACGATTTTGAAATTAAATAGATTAAATAAATAAATATGAAAAAGAGTTTCGTACATGTTCTACTTTTAAGACTTCTTACATTTTTAGTCACTCCTGGGATCTCTACGTGGCTCTTAAAATGTTGGCTGAATTACCAAAAATTCTGAAAGCTTTAGTATTTAAATGTCTACTACTCTATAAAATATTTTACAAAAATCGTAGTAGTTTGCAGGTCTGCATTTGTTAAGAGGATAATTTTGCCAACATTTCACACCCACGATATTCACTTCGACAATCATATTACAGTAGTACAATCTTTTTTACACCTTAGTTTTATCTATTAATAATACAAACTTGTTGAAAAACCTCTCTCGAATTTTTCTTTTATTTATTTAGAATTAATAATTTAAAATACTGGTAGACAGAACAGGATATTTAAATTTTTTTTATACATACATAACGACGAAGACAGCGTACGTACTACTACTTTTGATTAACACTTATGTAAGTATGACTAGCAAATCTTCGTATTTTAATTGTTGACAATGATAGTTTACTTCTCTTGAAATAAAGGTGGAAAGAAAATGTTTTTACTTCCGGTATTTTATATTAATCGAAAAACGTCAGTCGGGATTTAAATTTATTTCACGACTGTTATAATGCAATCTATAAAAAAAAAAAAAAAATTTAAGTAAATTTTTGTATTTTTATAGCTAGTTTTTAAGTTTTTTTTTTGAAACATTATTATATTTTGTCAGTTTTAAAACTGTTGAAATAGTTTTCGAAGTTTCAAACATATCTGTGAAGAATTTCAGGCTCAGATACTCTTTACATTTAACAAAAAAAAAGTTTAATTATTTTCGATGTACTTGAAAAGTATTTCGAAATCTCTGATTTTATGTCAAATTGTGAAGAAAAAAAATATTGAAATTTCACTTAGTTTTGATTGTTTTGTGAATTTAAGAAATATGTTTTACAATTTTTTTTTTCCAGAACGAACATACCAAAAGAGACAATGGCCTTTCCAGATTTTCCATTTCCACACCACGGTGGCTGCTCTTATATTCACCATACACAAGTACTGCAGTACTTACGAGATTATTCTGAGCATTTTGACCTGCATAATCATATTAATGTAAGTTAAAGTTAAACCTGTTTACCCTTTCTAATATCTTGGATGCTTTCCTCTAGGAGTCTTGTCTCTAATATCTTATTGTCCCGCTGAATTATTAAGATGACCAGAGTAACAACAAAACTAAAAAGCTGATAGTAAAGTTTCTGAGAAACATTCGATAACTCACCGCTTTACCTTTCAAATCATTTAAAAAAAATCTGTTAGAGCAGGGCTGTTTTCCCATTAAAATGTAAGCAAATTGTTTTATAGTCCTTCTGTTCCATTGTTTTATAATAAATAATTCAACTATTAATTGTTATTGTGTAAGAGGTTATTGTTCAACTTTTTTAAACTGCGGCCCGCCAGGTGATCAGTGACCGGAATTCTGGCCCGTGGGCTCTTTGCAGTCGGACAGCCCTGTGTTAGAGTATCTCCGCCTAGAATTTCTGTTCCATAAAATATTAAATTAGACGAGTAAAATATACGAGTTTTCGAAGATCCTTTTCCAATTATCGTATTGGAAGCCCTTAAAAACGTAACGTTCGTAACAGATAATCTGCAGATAATTTTTCATCTCATTCAATAAAAGAAAATGCTGAAAGAGAGTTAGGAAAGATCAAAAGAACAAAAAATTCTTTCTGTTCTTATTCACAGAAAAAACAATTTTAAAATAATAATTTGTGGCTAATATAAGCTATAGAAAATTGGCGATCTTCATTATTTCAAAATTTGCATTATCGATGGTCATTGCGAAACACTGTATGCATCATGTTGATTTAGGAAAATTAATATATTCTTTGATTATTATTTTGAATTTAAGTCTCCAATTGTTTAAAATTTTTATAATTAGTTTCACAAGATGGTGATGCACGTTAAACCATTGAAAAGTTCAGATGAGAGAGTAAAGTGGCGCGTCACATATTCTGATGTAGTGACGAAAGAAAGAGAAACTAAGATGTATGATGCTGTGATGGTATGTAACGGGTGAGTTCGGTTTCCTTTATTTTTGTTGCCAAGTGACGCACTTCAACCTTTTGCACTTTAATGACACTTATATGGTAACATCAAAATACACCACTCTAAAACCTAAAATTTTTATTTCTTAATAATTAAAAATATAATTGTATGAATTTTAGAAATTATTTGAACATAGTATAAATGATTATACTATGTTCAAATAATAGTACGTACTATAAATGATTTGTGTGTGGGTGGCGCAGTTGGTTTGTCGTCGGCCTTCTGAGCCCAAGTCTGCGGGTTCGATCCCCGGCCCAGACACCGGATTCTCGGGATGCAGAAAATCCTCAGCGGCCATGTCGTATGATTATGCGGAATGTAAAAGATCCCTGGAGTGCCTTATTGGCTCTTGGCATTTCCGGCAAAATTAAATTCCTAGTGCACTTTAGCATCCAAATAGAGTCTCGGTGCTGCCCTCTAGTGTGGCAGAAAGTAGACGTCCAAATTAACAAGACCAACGGTATCTCACCCATTGTGGTGGTACTATAAGAATGGATACCACCTCTGGTGAACGCACTAGGTCTGCTCATCGGCAAGACCGATTGTGCAGCTCATTGGAAATTAAAAAAAAGTATAAATGATTATGTGTTTACATTTTTTCAAACAGCATATAAAATTTCTCGATGCGCAAAAGGTTGATATAAGGGTTTGTCCTAACGGAAAGTGGAAATACAGTAGCAATAGCAACATGACCCTTCAAAGTCATAAACTGAGCTTAGTGAAGTACACAGCAGATTGTGTTTAACTGATTAAACAGTTCGCATGAGAACATTTAAAAAGAATGTAAAGTCCTGCTGAGATGGATGTGTCCAGAACAGAACAATTCGTAGTAGTAGAATGTGAGCGTAATGAGGACTTCTACAGTAAAATGTTTGATGTTTATGGCAAACATTATTTAAGACTAACGGCTACTCAAATGACGAAAAAGTTCTTATGAAGGGTGTACACATACCACATTTTTTGAGATCTAGGGCAGGGATGGGCACATTTTTTTTGTCGAAGGCAAAAAATCGGGAGAAAAAAATATTTGGATGGGCCGAGGAAAAACTTCTAACATAAAAAATTAAAAATAAAAAGAAGAAAAAAAAAACGATATACAAGTTTCAATTTGAATATTTAATGAGACGAATGAAATTTCGATTTCATTTTTAAAAGTTCCTTACATTGAGGTTCGGAATGAAATGTGCTTATTTTAAGAAATGAGGCTAAATGCTTGTCTGTTAGTCTACTTCTGATGCGATTTTTTCTAAGGTTCATAGTTGAAAACACTTGTTCACACATATAAGATGTAGCAAACATAGCACACGATTTTCTGGGCATGAGATATTAAGTTTTGGAAACAACTTTTGATAATGATTTGTAGAACTCAAACTTTGGCATATTTAAAAACAACTGCTTCAGAGGATTGTTAGATTGCAACTCAATTAATTCAAGCTGCAAATCTGATATATTTTCAAGTACAGAATTGAACTTATCGTTCAAAAAAAAAAATTTAATTAATAAAATAAAAATTGTTTGAAGAAAAAAGTGTAAATATATCCCTAAAAATTCAAAATGGAATATTTATGCAATGAAACCATGAATTGATTCTAATGCGTATAAAATATGTGTTATTAATAAGCAAACGAAGGAAAAATGAATAAATATATAAATAAACCTATAACAGTGAAAGAATAATCAAAATATGTGATTACATCCGTTCCAAAAAAAATTTCACTTTACCACAACATTAAAAATGGTGTCAGCTATACACCTAAATATTTTACAGTGCATTCCGTCTTTCTGAAGTGAAATTTTAATACCTGTATTACTTTTGTAAGATATCAATGTTTATCCTATTTTCCAAGCGTTATAAATGTGCATGATGTATTTATTTATTTATTTTTCTCGTTTAAAGCCGTCATAGCGTACCTAATATGCCTGAAATACCTGGAATCGATGACTTCCAAGGAATTATGATGCACAGTCATGCTTACAGAGAAAATACTCCATTTAAGGACTTGAAAGTAGCTGTTTTGGGAGCTGGACCTTCTGGTGAAGACATCGGTTTTGAAATTGCTGAAGTGGCGAAGGAGGTGAGAATCAATGACTTTTCAGACTCCTTAGCCTCCCAATGGTATGACCCCAGGTTCGAATCCCAGTGGTGGCTGGTTGATACGAATTATGTTCCCGGCTCGCACCGACAACTGTGCTGACGTAAACTATTCTCAGTGGTAACGGACGGGTTAGAATCGCTTTGCTGTCTGGCTAACTATGGAAGGTTTTCCTCACCAAAATAAATGCGGGTTAGTTCCTTCAAAAAGTTCTCCACGAAGGGTAGCTTGTTTCAATGCTTGATCCAAAAATTATCTTATTCCCTACGTTGGCTTATAAAATATAAGGATACGAAATTAAATATCCTAAGTCGCATACTCAGTTGTTGTTGTTAATTTACGTCGCACTAGAGCTGACTAGAGCTGCACAATGGGCTATTGACGACGGTCTGGGAAACATCCCGGAGGATGATCCGAAGACATGCCATCACAATTTTGATCTTGTCCGGAGNACGACCTGCGCGCGAAGTCGAGCACTTTACGGTAGCACAGTTTAACGAGGACCAATACCGCACACCCTCGGTCCCTACGCAGACTGATTCAAGTGGTCACCCACCCGCACACTGACCGTAGCCAGTGATGCTTGACTTCGGTGATCTGCTGGGAACCGAGTCTTAACGATCAGTCCACTGCGGGACTGCATACTCAGAATTAGGTTGGCTACTCAATGCCAGTTATAAAATAAAAAATAAATAAAGTGGTGAAAAAAATTAGACCAACGTCGATATTTAAATATTTTTTTATTCACCACTGCTTATAATTTTTCCGCTGGGATAGCCTGGTTGGTAGGGAGTTGGATCCATGTCCAAGAGATCGTGTGTTCGATCCCTTCCTGTCGAGGACTCACCGTGTACAAAGTGATGACTGGTGCGCGCTAAATCTGTAGGAGTCAAAAAGTACTCAAAGTTCCCGTAACAAATCAATATCTTTGGGGGACAAGATCGTGATCTAGATCAGGTCAAAATTACAATCTGCGAATGGATGGGTGATGTGTGAGTGTTCTCTCCATGTAAAACGGCCTTTGCTTCACTGGCCAGCTAATATTCATTGATCTGAAGCAGAGGGTGTATTTCTTGCTGGCATTGAAGATCGAAACACTATCGTTCTTAAAGCCATCACAGTTCTAACTATATTGCTTTCTCTTAACTTGCTGGAAACCTAGGAAGCCGCAACGAATTTACGCTTTACATGCGGACTTACCGTTTGACAATTAGCAACACTAGATGGAATTAAAAACTGCACCCAGTTGATAAGAAATTAAAATTTATCCAATGAAGTAATGCTTTTTATTGTTTCTTAGGTGATTTTGAGTCATAATTCAAAGCTGAAAACGTGTCCCTTGCCAAAGAATATGATTCAAGTAAAAGGAGTTAATCGTGTGAACAAATCATCGGTAGAACTTATTGATGGGCAAACTTATGAATGTGATGCAATCGTCTTATGTACTGGTTATCTGGTGGATTATTCTTTCCTGGATCCCAGCTGCAATCTACAGATACAAGACCAAAGGATAACTCCGCTTTACTTCCATACATTCCATATTGACTACCCAACACTGGCCATATGGGCTGTGACCAGATATATCCTGCCATTCCCTGTCTATGACCAGCAAGTGAAGGTCTTTTTGAAATATCTGAAAGGAGATGTAGCTCTCCCGAGTGCAGAGGAGATGAGAAGAGAAGAGGAGAGAGATTTCAAGTGGAGATTGGACATGGGTTTTAAACCGAATCACGCTCACGACTTGCTGAATGAACGCCTGTGGAAGTTCGATGATGGTTTTAGTGAACTTGGTCAAATCGATCCCATTCCAAATAGCATTCGAAACTTGATCCGGCAAGTTATAAAAGAAAGGGATGTCAACTTGATGAATTACAAAGAAAAGAATTACGCATTGGTTGATAACGAGACATTTGTTGAACTGGGCTGAAGTTTATATCCTAGTTAATCTTATTTCTTGATTTTTCCTCACTAAGCATCAATGATAAAGAACTGTCCCCTTCTTGACTATTGAACAGATTCGAAATAAAAGAGAATTTTGTGTTTACAATGATTTTCTCTTTAGTTGATAATAAAATGCTTGTCTAACCAAATTGAAATTGAGGCTTAAGGGGACACTAGACATTCAAAACTAAACAAAACAAAAAAAGCAATTTTTTTTCTATCATTTTCAAATTTTAACAGAACATCAATTCAAATTTTAAAAGGATTTCTTTAAAACCCTAATCATAATTTAAGATCATGATTAATAGTCTATCTGACCTTTTATATGTCAATTTAAAATTTATAGTATATGGTAGAGGTGGACAAAAATATTTTTAAAAAAATTCTAATACACTTAACTACCTTAGCAGCAAAATAACTTCAGGTTATAACAACTAATAACTTCGAAAAACACAGATCATTTTAAGTACAAAATACATAGAATGAAATCAAAAAATTATGTGTGTGTTAGTATACTGGTGCGAGTATTCGATATACCATAAAAATACGAAATTCAACATGAAGCTAAATGAATATAACTTAAAACAAATTACGAAGCTTAATTTTTTTCATTGGTTTATCTGAAGCTATTGTTTGAAATTTNGGAAACTTCCGGATCACTGTTAACGAAAAATCCGGAAATCCGGATTTTTTCCGGAGCACAATCAGCCCTGGTATAATACTCAATAACTCAAGTGAACTATGTCATAAAATTAGTATTTCTAAATTTATTTATCCGAAACATACGTGTTTATTTTGCTTATAGTTATGATTTTAAACGGTGTAACTTTAAAATCTACGGTAATTGGAATAAATAAAAAATAATTATACCGGAAAACAAAATGAGGAAAAATGGCACTGATTCTCTGAGGAGAAACGTTATCATCATTAACGCCAATGATAATTAATTGTGGTAATAGTCACTAATCGAAGTTAAAAAATAAGCTATGCCCTAGTAATCAAAATCAATGGTAGAAATTCATTTAAGAAAATGTATTATTTACGTCAACGATACTGATTAAAATTGGTATTAGATACTTAAGGAAAGATTTTAAGAAGCGATGTTTGCTAGCTAATAATTCTAATTGAGCATTCTGTAATACTCAATAATTTTTTATTCGTTATGGCAGATTATCTGAATAAACAACATGATCGTGGTAGTACAAGTGAACTATGACATAAAATTAGTATTTCTAAATTTATTTATCCGAAACCTACGTGTTTATTTTGCTTATCGTTATGCTTCTAAACGGTGTTACTTTAAAGATAAATAATTTAAAATCTACGGTATTTGAAATAAATAAAAAAAATTATACTGGAAAACAAAATGAGGAAAAATGGTACTGATTCTCTGAGAAGAAACGTAATCATCATTAAGGCCAATGATGATTAATTATGGTAATGGCCACTAATCGAAGATAAAAAATAAGCTATGCCGTAGTAATAAAAATCAAGGAGAAACGGTAATAATTCATTTAAGAGAACGTCTTATTTACGTCAAGGATAATGATTAAAACTGGTATTTGGTACTTAAGGAAATAAAAAATAAGCCAAGTACTAATTTGCAGAGTTGCCACAAGAGACTAATTAACTTCAAAATTTTATGAAAAAGATTAAAATGAGCAACTTTTTTTAGCATATGTTATCATTTTACCAATGTAGGTGTATGCTAAGGTTTTTATTTGAAGTATAAATAATTTCAAATGCAAGTCGCAGTAGTAGTAACGATTGAATAATTATAGGTTTTAAATAAATAAAAATAAATTGAGTTTCTACCACTTTTTACATTTTTAGTTCCTTATGGCATCCCTGTATTCGTCATATAAAACCGCATAAGTCGTCATCGATTATTGACACCAATGATGCTTAATTTTTAAAAAATACCGCATATACTTTTATGCATGTATACTAGCTAAAAATAGCTTCATTAAGATTTTTTTAATTATCGGGATAACGCGGGTATTATATGACAGTGTCTTTGTATCGATAGTGTAGTGCAAGTTTATCGATATACTGCGACTAATTTAGGGGTGCACAACCTTTTTCAGTGAAGGGCCACATGCACAGCAGATTGACCAATGAAGGGCCGCATGCCAAAGTGTTTAGACCGACATATTGAAAGCAATTGTTGGTGGTGATTGTTATATAAACATCATTGTTTATATAACACTAAATTCTTTTTGTCGGTTAACCTTGTAATCTCTTTGCAGAAAATACAATACTTTAAAACGTTTAAAATTAGAAAATGCAAAACTGATTACTTAAGAAGGAAAACAGAATTCGAAAATCAGAATCAATTTATCGGAAAAAATTTAGATAAATTGAAATAATTAAAAAACTATGGAAAAATTGAAATTTTTTTT